ATGGTGTCCAAACTGCGGGGCCTGAGATGCCCGCGAGGATCCCCAAGCAGTGAGTCGGACCTCAAGCGGTCATTACATGTACCGCCCTGTCCGGTGTCTCTATCCACACCGTCGCTGAGTTCGCAGCCGTCGTACCATTCGTCGTATACGAACAGCCAGAGCGTGGTCACCCTGAATGAGACTATATCCTCCATTCAGAGTGTGTCATTACGAGCAGGATCGGACTTTGTCCCAAGTCTGTTCGGCACTTCGGAAACGTCCATCGAGCAACGCGCAGTGGTACGTAAATCGTCCCAAGATGAGTCATCGTCTTCGCCCGTGTGGTCTCGGGCAGCCAGCAACGGATATATGCCGTTCAGAGCGTATGCTCCTACGGTGATGACAGCCAAGAGTGGATCCGTCCCGGCAGACAATCAGATGGGCATGCAAGTTGTCCAAACTGTCATCCCTCCGATGCAAGTGATGGCCGGACCCGACTATGTCGTTATGTCGGAGTCGGGTGAGGTCGCAATCCTGACCGAGCGTAGGTCGAGACATTTCAAGGCGCGTGGATCCCAACGCCGTAAAGGCAACAGTCCCGATAGATCATCCAGTGGCTCTGACTCCGAAATGTGTCGCCCACGACACAAAGGTACCAGGAGCCATCCAAGAAGGCGTCGAGCCGTCGAACACATTTAGAGCGACCTAGTCGGTCAGGTCAGTCCTCTATGTCTGGGGCGTCCCAGGTCGCACTGAATACGGTGCGCCAGAATACGGTGCGCCAGATTCAAGAAACCCTGGCTCGCATCCAGTCAGAACTCTCCCAGAATCACCGAGCGGATGAAGCGATTCTGGCTACTCGCGCTGAGGCTGCCGTCCAGGCCGAACGATTTCGCGCGGCAAAAGCGACTGAAGAACGATTCAAGGCACAGCGGTTTCAAACCAAGGCTAACTTCGCTGAGCGTCTCAGGGTCCAACGAATGTAGGATGAAGTTGAGCGCGCGCTTTGTGGACGACGTCAAGAAGATTACGAAAATACAGATAGCGATCCTCCAGCAGCAAGTTCGCGAGATGAAAGCTGAACGTGATCGAAAACGGGAAGAGGCGAAGCGTATCCAGAAATGCCAAGCCAGACGGTTGCACAACCTTCGCGCAACCTCCGCCCAGGTTCAACATGCGACAGTAACCCCTGTCCAGGATTCAGTGTCTCAGATCAAAACGGAATCGGGAATTGCGAACTTCCAGCAAGACACAAGAAGCCGTGGTGCAGTCAATGTCGTCACCAAGAAGGAGGAGTCTATCGACAAGGAGGCCGTGGTCGGCCGCGTGGACGCTCTCCTGGCTGCACAACTCCAGACTATCCTCCAGAGTGTGAACGTGGTGAAGCAGAGAACGAGCACCGCGACTACCGTACCCGCAGCGATGAAAACTGAGGTGGGAACCAAGGTGACGAAGGCCCCCGCGCCCAAGTCGTTTGATGACGCCGGGGGGAAGGCCAAGAAAGCTACAACCAAGGCGCGTGCGTCCAGGAAGGCCCGTCGTGGCGGATACCCATCCGACTCAGACCCGTGCCCAGAAAATGACGACTGCGACTCTAGCTCTAATGACTCGGACAGTTCATTCTGTGAGCCGCTTAGCGACATAGTGGTCCCGAAAGCCACCCACGGCGGCACCAACATCGTGACCATCCGACCATTCGTGACTGCGAGTTCTCTGGACGATTTCGACGAGATAGCTTCTCTCTGAGAACGTTGGTGGGAACGTTTTTAGACGTTGGCCTTCCAGGGCGAATGGAGCGACAAGATGAAAGTTTACGAGCTTTGCCTGAAGCTATCTTCGTCCAAAAGGAACTGGCGTTCACAATCGTCTCGCATGTGCGTCGTGACTGGACAAGGTTCTCTAAGGAATTCAAGACGAAGTATGGCAAGTCCAAGATGACCGAGTCAGAGAAATCCTACACCATATGCAACGCAAGGCGGAGACCCCCTAGATATTTTGTATCGTCTAAATGCCGCAGCTGACCGTGCGCACATTCGTTACAAGAAGTCTGAGCGACGTCGCGAACAGCACGTCCAACGGTTTACGCATCGGCTGGCGGATTCGCAGCTGAAGAACATCCTGAAGAGTCAGCGATTCATAAGTATAGATGACTTGGAGTATGTGCTGAAACAGCAGGAGGACGACTGGGACGACGAAAGCCAGAGCGTCCGGTCCACCAAAACGAAGGACTTCAGGCGGACAACCTCCGTCAGGGGCGACTCAGAACCAAGTACCCAGGACGAGCATACGTCGCTCAGAGTGGTGACGATTCTGAATCTGATGAACGACAAGTGATGTTCGAAGTCGATGTCCCCGAGAGCTCATCGACCCTAGAAAATGTCGAGTCTCGCGAGACGTCTACCGAAGGCCAAGGACCCGGCATGATCATGGATGAACTGACGCAACATGTGCCCAAGGTCATGGAGAACTCAGGACGGATCAAACCTGTGCCTATGACACACCAGAGTAAAGTTCGTCAGAATAACAGCCACACAGGATCACCGTCCACAAGGTATGACAATCCTGACCGGGACATGCGTTGGGACAACTGCAATGGAATCGGACATCGTACTGAGAGCTGCTGGGCCGACCTGATCTGTGAAAACTGTCATCGCACTGGACATCAAACGCAGCTGCGCAAGACCTTGCCGCGCAAGAAGTGTGGCAAGTTCCATGACGGCCGCCGCGAAGGTTGGGAGATGGTAGAGTCTATTGCACGACTAGCCCGCCAGGGCATTATGAAAGGCTTAACCACTCCGATGCTGGATCGACTCCTGGCTGTCAAGGAAGAGCTTAGTGACCGGTCGTTAATTCACTAAGCCCGCTGGATGGGGATCCAGTACGCGACGGGCATAATAAGACCCCAAGATATTGCGCCTTAGTATATGTCGGCGCTGAGTTGAGAACCAAGAACTAAGATAACCAACAATGCATGACTTCTATGTTTCAATACACCATAAGTTCAGGATTAGGCCCTTCTGGATTACTTCATTCTGATGGCACTTACCCAGAGTTCCCTGAGGAATTCCGGCTCCGGGATGGAGAACGTTATGGTTGGTGGACTACACACCAGCCAGGGAAGGAAAGGCGTAGGCTTGCTACGGTTCATGGCGCTGTGATCGACGTAAGGACTCGAATATCCCTGGATACCGTGACGTCATTGAGCATGATCAGCTTGGATTTAGCGCGTAAACTCAAGCTCAAGCTCAATCGACAAAATCAAGTAAAGGTGTCTGGATTAGTGGGTATTCTCACTCAGATCACGGCGAGTACAGAAGTCAAGATTACTCTGGGATCCAGAGTGGTCTATATTATGGAATTGTGGATGGTGAAGGACTAGACGTACTACTTGGTATGAATTTCATGTTCCGCGCAGTACGAGTCTGTATTCGAGAAGGTTTAGTACAACTCCCAGACGAAGAGTCTTTCCTGATGTACGATGAAAATGGCAAAGTACCCCAGGGCGTGGACTTGCCTGTCACGTCTCCAGAAACTCATGCCCGGAGAGCACGCAGTCGTGCGTATTCAGTATGAGCATACGAATCCAGAACGAGAAGTCATTTGGGCTGGACGAGGTGACAAGTGGGTGACCAAGATTGAGTGTCAGGCCAGGTCCTAGCCAGTGCGATCAAGGATGTGAACGTGTCGAAGCATGGTGTCTGGATCGATATGAGGACACCGCTAGCCAGGATTGTGCAGTATGGATCGTTCCCGCAAGCCGGGCGCTTCGTCCGCCCTGGAACACGAGCTTACTGTGAATGGCAGACCCTGATCATGGAGCACGCCCAGTCTGAACAAGACAGACTCAGGGCTGAACGGAGAGAACACGATTTGCGAGAACGAGAGCCCCCGTGCGTACCGAAGATAAACTACCAATGTCCAACCAGGATCATGCTAACTCCCCAACCTGGATCTGCGGAAGTCAAGATGGCTCAGTTGCAAGACCCCCCCCCGCGTTTCAAGGTGCTGAATCGCGGAGAGTTGGTGAATGGGGGTACGCAGAAGGAAGAGGCCTTCCTGGTGACAACAATAATGAATGTCACTACACAGGTCAGTGAAAGTCAAATAGATAGTTACGAAGATGATCCTGGTGAAGGTGATACCCTGGACCGAGACTGTACATTTGCGGATATGCCTCCAAAATTGACTATCGAATTCGAGGAACCCCAGGGCGGCGAGACGTTGGCGGAGGTACACCCTGAACAGGATGCTCCAGGATTCCTCCCAGAACCAGCGTCCTGCACACCACTCGAGAAGCTGGAGATGGAGTATGAACGCTGTATGAGGGTCAGCGCCGAAGGTTTGGACTTGGAGCCAGGCAATGTAGGACACTACTACAGTACTTTTACTGTTTTCATAGTATATTAATATGAAGAATAAATATTGTTGTGTTATAGTTTTTACTCAATAAAAATGTGAACTGAGCCCCTCAATTTTATTTGGGTTGGTTCCGCCTCTGGACCCATTGATGTAGAAATTTATATGAAGCAGCTAGAGTTCTTTGACGACGAAACTGGGTGAGTGTGCAAATTGCTTCGGAGCCTGTATGGTTTGAAGCAGGCGCCTCGGATGTGGTACCTACACTTGACAAATACTGGAAGCAGTGTAGCTTTAAGATATCAAAAATGGATGGAGAGATTTACTACCGCTGGGTGGATGGGTGGACATATTTTGATCTTTTACTCTCTACGTGGATAGCATTGTGATTACTGCGTCTACGGAGACCACTAAGCTGAAGCTGACTGAACTAGTCAATTCGTTTCAAGTGAAGGGCCTAGGAATTGTGAATCACTTACTCTCGATAGGAATTTAGTCCATTCTAGGGCAATTGCTGATGATTTCTCAGCGAGGATATATTAGAAGAATTCTTGAATGATTCAAGGTGGTCAGAAGCAAGCACATGCCGAGACTGCAGACTAAAGGCAATCTCCCTGTCCCTAGCAACCCAGATAGAGAGGGTATGTGTGAATAGCAACCTGAACATGGCCTATCAGTGCATTGTTGGTTCTTTGTAGTACCTGGTGAGCTGTTCACGGCCAAATAACGCCAACGCAGTGCAAACGCTTGGGAAATTCCTCACCTGTTTCATGAAGGAGCATGAGGTGATGGCCAAGCGTGTTCTGCGGTATCTGCAAGGTACATGTGAGTATAGTTAATAATATATAAAGAAGGACACCAGATGCTGGCACAATTGCGAGACCAGTTGATCATGGTGCCAGAATTGAGTGAATTGCACCCAGAATGTGACATCGATCAGGCCGATGTGGGAGTTCCAGGTGAGACCTCCCCCGAAGATGAATCCAGGATGCGTGCGATCCTGAAGCGCCATCGGAAGATTTTCCTGGGTGACGAAAATGCTGCACCAGCTCCCGCTAGGGGAGTGGGATGTGATCTCGATGTAGGAGATGCCAAGTACATCGCGTTGCGCCCAAGGTCGATTGAACCCCACGTTGCAGTCAAGGTATTTGAACTCCTTAAGAAGTTGCTCGAGATCAATCTGATTGACATTCAGAATCGCAATGGGCATCTCCAATGGTTATTGTTCTCAAGAAGGAGGGGGTGGACATCAGGATGTGTATTAACAATCGACATGTGAACAACTTCATTTATCTGTCCAGTAACCCGTTACGTCTCATCGATGACTTGTTAGTCGGTTTTGAGAAGGCGCTCTGGCTCATGAGCCTGGATATGTCCAGTGGTGTTTTGGGAATCAGGATGACTTAGAGGGTCAAGCTTATTTCGGCTTTCGTATATCCGTTTGGAATCGAATGCCGTTTGGCCTGAAAATGGCACCTCTGATTTACCAGCAAGTGGTTAACAATTGCTGGTGGGGATTTGAGCGTCTGCCGCCAGAAGAGGAGGCAGAAGTAGACCAAGAAGTTTTGGATTATCTGAATTTGGACCCCCAGAATGATGGACCTCCAGGGTGGGGCATTCCAGGATGTACCGGTTATGAGAACGTTTGTACCCCTCGATATTGCCGATCCTGGCGGACCAAATGACCGTGTTCAAGAGGAACATTCCTGCTCCGACGCAGATGTCACCTGTCCTGAGACGCAGCTCCTACATTGACTATATCGCACACGGCGCGCCGACTTGGGACGCATTGTATTCTGATTTAGACGCCTTGTTGTACAGACTGCGGTATTGGAATATCTCAGTAAGTTTGCCGAAGAGCGAGTTCGAGAAGTTGTCCATTCCGTATTTGTCTCAGGAGATTAGTGCTGAGGGAATCAGGGCAACGTCGAAGATCGCTAAGGGCGTTCAGGATTTACCGTTCCCAACAATAATGAAGGGATTACAATCTTTCTTGCGCAGCCTGAACTACTACCACAAGTTCGTCGAGGGCTACCCCGTGGTCGCTGTCTCCCTGGATGAACTATCGGATGACCAAGTGAAGCACAAGATCGTATCGACCCCGATATTAAGGCATCCTGAGAGGACCAAGTCGTTCGTTATCATACCTCATGCAAACCAGTGAACTGCTTCTGCGGTACTGGGCCAAGAACATGATGGTTTGATCCATCCAGTACGATTGACTGGGCGGGTTCTCCACGATGCAGAATTGAGATATCACATCGCGGAAAAGGAGATCATCGCTGTGTTGAGAGTGCTGCAGGTGTTCAAAATGCTCATTCTGGGCTGCCCCCGCATTGTGTATACCATACATTCAGTACTGAAGTGGAACATGAAATCCAACACAGTGTGTGCCCTGGGGTGTTTTGCTTTCGCAATGGAATATGGACGTCAGGAAACTCCAACGAGATGAAGACGGGCTAGACACCATCCATGGTGCCGGCATTACGCCTCGAGAGCATCTGGATAAGGTCGCCGAGGAGCTCACCCCTGCCAAGGTGCGCGCGAAACCACCCCGATAATTAGCGTTGAGATGTTGGAGGATATCTTTGAAGGCGCCGTGTTGAGATTTGATGGTGCTGCCAAGACTTCAACTCGTCAGGGCAGCTGTGGATGCATTTTGTGGGAACTCTCTGGATGGAAAATCCTGGATGCACAGGGTTTTATCATCGAGGACATCACTGTAAACGACACCGAGTACTGTGAGCACTTGAATGGTCTAACCATGGCGCAGGCCAGGGGCGTTCGAGACCTGGTCGCAATGGGTGACTCACCAATTGTCATCCAACAAGTACAAGGACTGATCAACTGCAATCAGCCCAAATTGCAGAGGCAATTGACCAGTTGTGAAACCCTGAAAAAAGGTTTGATTCGGTGAGATCGGCACACGTCAAGCGATATTTTAACCAGGCGGCAAACTATCTGAGCTCCAAGGCATTGCTGCTCGGAAGGTCCTGGAGTGTCCAAGAAGGCGGAGAATGTAAACCTGTGCAACGGATATCCAAGATCAAGAGAAGTTGATGAAGTCAGTGGAAGCTTGCCCAGTGGCTAGTCATTCAGGGTTGATGGTCTTCCAGGATGCAGAAAACCGTTCAAACGTTCCTGGATGCACCTCCGCCCCGGACGCCATGACGGCGCCGTTGCGTACGCGGCCAAAATCCTTGTTGCCGCGACGCGTGCTAGCGCTCGAGGCAGGCAACATCGGAATCCTTCGACCCTCTAGAGTATCAATGCGAGAGATGACAACGGTTTAAGGTGCACCGGAACGAATGGACGAATACCTGTGCGATCTAAGAGAATTCCTGAACGGAGAAGTCGTCGTTTCACACTTCGCTCGATTCAGAAGGTCGCCAAGGTCGCAGACTTGTTCGTCCTGGATGCCTGAGATGTGCTGTATCGGCTAGCCCAGTCCAGCCGCGGCAGGCCTCGAGATGCACAGGATGAATTACGACTGGTAGTACCAACTACCCTGAGAGAGGACATCCTGCATTATGTCCATGAGGATTTTCAAGCTGGACACCAGGGCATCAAACGGACTCACGAAAAGCTACGCTCTGAGTTTTATTAGCCCGCGATGTAGGCAGACGTGGAACGTTATGTCACGCTGTGTGTGTTGATTGTGCGAGCGCAGGGACATCCGTCCAACCCCGGCCCATCTGCTAGAAATATTGACCCAAGGCAACCATTTGAAGTGGCTTCGATGGATTTCGTGACGCACATACCAAAGTCAGAGCGAGAAAACACTTTCTTGGTCTTATTCCAAGACATGTTTCCAGGATTCGTGACGTGCAAGCCAATGTCATCCACAACGGCTCAGGACGTAGCTGAAGCGTACGAGGAACTGGTATTCAGGATGTTCGGCGCTTCGGCCTTGATCCGCCACGATTAGGACCCGAGGTTCATGACCGATGTTTTCACACGATTCAGTGAACGCCTGGGTAGTCGTCAAAGATCCACTCTGAGTTACCAGACTCAGGCCAATGGACAACAAGAGCGTTCGGTTCAGACAATCATTCGGAGCGTGCGGGCATACGTCGCTGAGACAGATCAGTCAGATTGGGATGACCATGCCGAGCGTTTGATGCTCGCCCTGAACACATCTTTTGATGCGACTCGCTTGGATACACCATTCTATCTGGGACGCCCAGGGCACTGTATCCTCCATGTTGGGACCTAAACCGGCCAGCCTTCCAGAACGGACTGCGTATGAATGGAAGAGAAAGTTCCAGCGCGACTATGACTATGCACGAGCTTGTGATCAGGATCTCCAGAAGAAGAAAAACGCATGAGATCGGAAACTCAGATCCGGAAATCGATAGAGCTCTCAGAGCGTTTGAAGTCTGGATTTGAAAGGGGCGATGCAGTTTGGTTGATCATCCCCCAGGTGCAACCAGGATTGAGTCGTAATTACGACACACTTGTGGTATGGCCCTTTCAGGATTGACGACGTTCACGACGATTTCAGGGTAAAGTTGAAGATCGATGGAACCGGATATCGTGTGAACCCATGGACATATGTAAGTTGCCTGAAGCCTCGGGCATTTTTCCCGAGGAGATCCGTCGGCGAAGTTACCCTGGATGAAAGTGACGACCTGGATGCTAATTATTACCTGAAGATAGTTGAGAAGCGGACAACCAGAACGATGGGTACGAAGAAGAATAAATCTTGGATCTCCGGTGGACTAAGCGTACCCGTACCTCCAAAAGGCCCTGTGAGTACCTTGTCAAGTGCTAGGGATATGTTGATCCTTAATGTATTCCACTGTCGCAACTCAACGGTGGGGCCTTGCTGTATGGGTTCAACCAGGGCGCCAGAGCCCGAGCACGCTTCAGGGCAATGCAGGCGGGTGACGACTATCCTCAGCTTTACTTGAGCTCATCCGTCGATTTTGGATGCCCAAATTAACTCTGACCCAGACTGACGATTTTGTGAACTGTTTCGATTTTGTGTATATTCTCGACTGTTGATTACTTTCGTGGACTACTTATATTTCTGGATGGCTCCGCGCTGCTCTGAATCCTGGGTTGTGAAAATGCTTTTCGTATGTTCGAAGTATGTTCTGGACTAAAGTGGACTAAAACAACCAGAACGAAAAGAAAAATGACATATATTAGAATGTATTGGCTTAGGCCCACGATAACACACATTACTGTGACGAAATATGCAGGTGGACACCTCAATCATATGTGCGTGAAGATGGGTTGTCCTGGTGGGCCAACAGAGGAAGAAGGTTCACCGACACAGACTTGGGTATGCGATCCACGAGTTCTTCATCCAGGGTTGTAGTAGCCCGCAGTACTCGCGCTGGATCACGACAATGCAGCATCTCCAGCTGTTTAGCCAGGGAGTATGGGTTACCACGATCATTGAACGACCTTGGATCCATCAGTACCCAGTAGCACGGCTTCGAAGGCAGGGTCCAATATGCAGCCTCCCAGAAATTTGTTGGAAGACGCACCTTCAGCAATACACTCACGCAGCTTAACTTCCACAGTCCGAGTCAACGCATCCCTCTGACGTTTGCGTTCACGCTGCATGTCGGCGCCACCTAGGAGTAGATGAGTCGATAGCTAACCAGTGGCCACCATGCCAGAAGCCTACTGCGTTTTCTTCCATAAATCGTACGTGTTTGTCCAGAGCCATCCGAACACACGGCGTCAAACCACTGTGAGAATGTAGCACCAGACGTTTGCGCGTCTCAAACATATTTGTCCAATGCTCGGTCGCCAATATCGCTTGTACACCACCCTGAATGAATCATTGCTTGAGGGGTTGAATTCCACCCACCTTGTTGGGCGCATAATCAGAGAACTCGGCAGACTGGTGCACTGCGTGAGCAGATGAAGGAGCAAAGGTCATCAAGATGCCATAATGTCGCCAAGACAATCTCCGAGTCAGCCACAGTGCGTGCACCTGAATCAATGCGAGCCAAAGGAGACTGACGACGCAGACTACCAGCTCGGTTGCGCCGCGAAGGCGTATTCATCGCACTAGCTGATGGTGGCTTAACCGACCCCGTGTGAGAGGACGCAGACGTACGACGAGGTTTGGCAGCGGGGGAAACATCGCTCGAACCCTGAACATCGTCGTGATCTTAAACGTCGACCTCTTCTTCAGGATTGTAAGTCGCGTCCCTCTGGAGGTCGTCATGCTCACTGCTCATGTCGTCAACCACGTGTTGATCGTTGTAAATGTCTGCGTCAACAAGATCTGGCCAAACGTCAGGGTGCCTACCTTCAGAATGCGCGTCAGCCAAGAGTAACTCCGCGCGAAGGTAGTAGCGCTCAGGAACGTACTTGGACCATAGTGACTCGTCGAGAACATTTAAAACATTATTCTTGTGAGCATGGCAGCAAGTGCAGCAAGGGGGAAACAAGTTGTGGACCATGATAGATTCACTGAGCATTGCGATCGCGCCCTGATCACCACTATCGGCTTTGGTTTCACCATCCGAATCCTCCTTTGCCAATGATGTGAAAGGTACATTCTGGGCGAAAGGATCGTCCACCGCGATGACCGCGATCAGAGTGCTCCAACTACTCTCTGGATCTTCACCATCACGAAACTGTTTGATTAAGCTTTGGAGTTGGCCCCAGTTATAGTTGACGCGGGTTTGTTTCCGATTCTGGAAATTCATCAAACCAGGTACGTCGAGACGCCGCGTCCCACGGCGTCCTCGACTCGTCAAGCAGAGACTGTTCACACGGGAGCGCAATTCAGAGATTTCTCCGTGGAAGACGCGCTTTTCGAGTTCGTGTTCAGCCATGGCCCCGCGGAGATCATCCTGACGGCGGTGATCTGCAGCGTCCAGCAGCATCCGCATCCGACGATCCTCTCTCCAGTAGAATTCGTGCAGCGTTGCATAGTCGACCTTGACCCTGACATTCTCACTCTAGGAATCCAGCATGTCCTGGACATGCGTACGATGTTTGGCCTCCACCTGAGCGTGAAGGTGTCGGAACTTGTCCAGGAGTCGCTTTAGGAATGTCGTGGTGGCAACCACCTTTTGGGCCAGTCTGTCGGGACGATAGTGTGACAGGATGTAAGCCAATTCTCGACGGACCATCAGTGAATCCAACATACATTCCAGGTCGACCTCATCAAGGGGTCCATCAGGGCGAGCACACATGACCAGATCATTCACGTCACCGTCATGGCCAACCAGCGAAGCCAGCTCCTGGATATCCACTGCGGTGAACCCGTCGTCACGATGCAACACCTCGAGACCTCCGTAACCATCCCTGGTGTACTTTTCCTCGGCGAGACGCTGGGACCACGCGGGTATACCCACGAGGAAAGCATGGTCCGAGGTGTTGTGAGTCGTAGAGTAAGAGAAACGGGCAGGCACCACTTCTGGGATGATCGCAGGATGCATTTTTGCTGGCAATGGTAGGGAATATCGCTGTGTGGTCGCGTGGAACCGATTGACGATGCGTGAAGATATATCCAAGCGTGAACCGAGGTCCGTTACGTCCGCGGCCGAATCCTTGCCCTCCAACATCGGCTCATCCGCGTCGGCGTGTCGTAATCAGGTCCCTGGTGCGGAGGAGATAGAAAGTGCGTCGGAGAGGCTCCTTGTGAAGCTGGCCCCGCCGAAGCAGCTGGGTATCACTCACCTCGGTGACCGTGAGATCCCAGAATACCACCAGTCACATTAGCACCCGCCGAGTTGGCCACTCCACTGGGGGCCGACGGTTGACGCGCCGTGCTAGGAGATGGGCTGGCTGTCGGGAGAACCATTTGCGTGCTGGTGAAGGAAGTGAATTGTCGAACAGAGGAGATTTCGCGTTGTGAGTGGAAATCTCTGGGGCGGCCACCAATGACAGAACTTACCTTGGGTGCCAGCGAAAGGGCGGAGAAAAAATGCGAGCTGCGGTAGTGCAACCGGCGGGTCGTTCAGGATGAAGGACCGCACTGGATTGGTCGAATGTTGACGTAGTCTGGTCATGATCGTTCACCTCGGTTGTGATTTCCTTTGTGAAAGATTCTGAACTGAGGGGCGGTTGTGGAGATGCGGATTGCAGTTTTGCGAGATTGATGAATGAGGGAGTGAAGTGGCGCG